ATGAGTGGCCTGGCGCATCTCTCTGATGAGGAAAGGTTGAGGTACTTGGGTCTGGTTAGTCTGGAGAAGAGAAGGCTGAGGGGGGAATCTGATCAACACCTATAAATACTGAAAGGGTGGGTGTCAGGAGGATGGGGCCAGGCTTTTCTCAGTGGTGCCCAGGGACAGGACAAGAGGGAACGGGCACAAACTGGAACATGGGAAGTTCCATCTCAACATGAGGAGGAACTTCTTTCCTGTGAGGGTGGCAGAGCCCTGGCAGAGGCTGCCCAGAGAGGTGGTGGAGTCTCCTTCTCTGGAGACATTCAAACCCACCTGGACACGTTCTTGTGGGACCTGCTCTGGGTGGACCTGCTCTGGCAGGGAGTTGGAGGAGATGATCTCCAGAGGTCCCTTCCAACCCCTGCCATTCTGTGATTCTGTGATACCCAGTGCATCTGAGAAATAAAGCAAATAGTTGTTGAAACAAGGAAAGAAGTGGTGTACGTTATTCTTAATATGTATATTTAAAAAAAAAAAAAAAAACAAACGCTTGTGCTTTGGGGTAGTGGTTTGATTGGAACATAACACATTAAACCACTGGAGGCTGTTAAAGGGAAGCAAACACACACTGGGTGGTATCCTGTGGAAACAATTACGTGGGAAATAACTCTTTGTCTGCTGCCAGAAGGTTTATTCTTTCCAAGCCAAGTTTAAGATTAAAACTTACAGTTTAAAGTACACATTAAACCGTTAAAGTTGTCAAGAAGAGGAGAAAGCAGAGGGTGAAGGGAGAAGAAAGGGGCCGTGTCCTACCTGAGGCTGACGGAAAGCCCCCCCCAGCAACACTGTCCACCCTGGCATTCCAGAAATAGAGACAGCTGGACATGGTTTGTGGCCATTTGCTCTTGCTCTCTGCTCTTCCCTGCCTAAAATAGCTGCTCGCTGAGCTCTGGGTAGCCGTGGGATACTTTTATTTCAGTGGATGCTAGTACACTTGTCCCGTTTCTCAGGGGGGCTACGTCATACGTGGGGGCATCAAGAAACCCATGGTACGACCACAGAACTCCAGGGCAACCCAACTGCAGCAGCTCACCAAGTTGCCACCTATTAACTTATACTCAGCAATTACAACAATTTACATGTGTGTCCTTAATTTTTACAGAATTTCATGAAGTTTCCATCACCTAAATCAAGCCACTCCAATTTCCTTCATCTTTGATGGCTTTGGCTTTTCCCAAAGCAAGCTGCAGTGCAATTAGTCACCTTCTGATTCTAGAGAGCGCGGTTACGGCTGTGAAGTACCTCAGAGCTTTAAAGATTTCTCTTTCAAGTATCAAAAGGGGACAATTTTCTCATGAGATGTTTTTGTATTTGCAAGAAAAGGCTGAGGGCTGTGGGATAATTTGATTTTAAAAATAACATGAAAGAGTGAAAAGGACTATTGTACTTCATAATTAAAACCAGACGGGGACTAATGGATAATATTGTGGGCAAAGCCCAAAAGTTGAGAAAAAGGGAGAGGGACACCAGCAGGGAAATAGCATGGGGTCAAAGACTGAAAAAGAAAATTTGCATGTATCCTGTCTGTTTTCCCAGGGAAAAAAAGCCATCATCTATGGAGCTGCTGCTTCTGTGGAGCTTCTTTCTTCTGTGGAAACTCTAAGGCTGGAAAGGACCAGGAACAAGTGTCTTGGAAAGAGCCTTGAGTTATTTCATGCATTCGTGGTCTTCACACCAGACTGAATGAAACTGGTGCCAAGCTAAGATGCGGGACCAGGCTGCAAGGGACAAGTGACTGGTTGGTGCTGGAAAGGCTACTGGAGCTGGCAGCCTTCATAGGAGGAGTAGCCTTGCAAATAGTGCAGCTTATAAGTCACCTGGTTTAGGAGACTGGGCTTCTCCATCAGTAATTCCTTCAGAATCTCCATGTGTATGAGCCCATTCTCTAGGTTTTAGAAATGCTTTCTTCCATGATGTACACCAGTGACCTACACCCAAAGAAGCATTAGCAGCTTCCAGGGGTGAAAACATTAGCAGGTACTAATACTTCTCAATTAGAACTGCTTTTCATCAAGTGTATAAATCTGAAGAAAAATAAACCAGAAGAAAATAGCAGTGCACAAAATGAACAGGATTGTGAAGGATGAGGAGTAAACATAACCAGGCTTTGGGAACGACTTGAGAGCAACCTGTCAACTGAAACTGCAAAGACATTACAGTCAGCTCTCTTCTAACATGAAGAACAAACTACAGTTGTGTGAGCACTGAGGTGAGTCTCTGCTGCTCTCAACAAGTTCCAGGGATCTAAACCAGTCACATCTGTGCAAGTAACTCAAATACAGTGTCCAGTTTTGGGCCCTTGAAGACAGAAAGGACATTGAGGGGCTGGAGCGGGTCCAGAGAAGGGCAACGGAGCTGGTGAGGGGTCTGGAGCACAAGGAGAAGGGGCTGGAGACCTTGTGAGGAGCGGCTGAGGGAGCTGGGGGTGTTCAGCCTGGAGAAAAGGAGGCTGAGGGGAGACCTTCTCGCTCTCTCCAACTCCCTGAAAGGAGGGGGTAGCCAGGGGGGGTCGGTCTCTTCTCCCAAGGAACAGGCCATGGGACAAGAGGAAATGGCCTCAAGTTGCACCAGGGGAGGTTTAGGACAGATATTGGGAATAATTTCTTCACAGAAAGGGTTGTCAAGCCTTGGAATGGGCTGCCCAGGGCAGTGGTGGAGTCACCATCCCTGGAGGTGTTTAAAAGATGGGCAGACATGGTGTTGAGGGACACAGGTTAGTGGTGGACTCGGCTGTGTTAGGTTAACGTTGAACTAGATGATCTAAAGGGTCTTCTCCAACCCAACTGATTCTATGATTCTAAGTACACACTCTAAGTCAAAATCATCCCAAAAAAAAAGCCAAATCTGAGAATCCTGGGATTATACGCAAGGACAGGCAGAGGTGGGAGCGCTAACAGGGACGGGGCCAAAGCTGTACTTTTTTGGCAACCACAACAAGAATTCCCATTCTAAGATTTGCGGCCTGGTTGTTCCCCAAACCGCGTTTGCCGAGTCGGCACCAAACCGGGTAGTAGAAGCTATGGGATCACTATTATTTTCAAGTTGCACATTGGAACTATAAAACACTTTTCTGAGACTACATTGTGACCGGAACTGTCACTGGTCTTACGGGAGAAATCTGGATTGCCTGATGGGATTTTTTTAATTATCCAGGTGTCAGAAATCCACTCGGCAGCTTAACTCGCGCTTCGCTGCCAGAAGACAGAGAGAGAGAGAAGAAAGTGAAGTAGCAATGCTTAACGTCCCTACTTTTTTTTTTGGAGAAACAGTGCTGGGGTAGAAATCTCTCACTCCTGCTGCTCACACCTGAACCAGCCACATCTCAAATTTCACAGTGAAAATTTTCTGCAGTCACAATAAAAGGTTGAGGATTTTGATACTGCTCAAGGGGTAAAAAAAATACAATTTTGGGGCCTTTTCCTTTACTTTCCCTTGCAAACTCTACCTCCTGTTCTCCCTGTATTTGGCATTTAAAGAGGGAGTTCACTTTAGGCACAAGAATAGAATCATAGAGTTGTCCAGGCCGGAAGGGACCTCCAAAGGCCATCTAGTCCCACCTCCCCGCAGTCAGCAGGGACACCCCCAACTAGACCAGGTTGCCCAGGGCCTCATCGAGCCTCTCCTTGAATATCTCCAGGGATGGGGCCTCAACCACCTCCCTGGGCAACCTGTTCCAGTGCTCCACCACCCTCACAGTGAAGAACCCTCTCCTGATCTCCAATCTAAATCTGTTCCCCTCCAGCTTGAAGCCATTTCCCCTCGTCCTGTCACTACAGGCCTTTCTAATCAGGCTCTCCCCAGCCTTCCTGTAGGCTCCCTTCAGGTACTGGAAGGCTGCTATTAGGTCTCCCCGGAGCCTCCTCTTCTCCAGGCTGAACAACCCCAGCTCCCTCAGCCTGTCCTCGTAGCAGAGGTGCTCCATCAGCTTCTCCTCCACCAGCACCCCGAAGTCCCTTTCCTCAGGGCTGCTTTCCAATCTCTCACCCCCCAGTTTGTATTGGTGGTGAGGATTGTTCCGGCCCAGGTGCAGAACCTTGCATTTGCTCTTGTTGAACCTCATGAGGTTCACCTGGGCCCACCTCTCCAGCCTGTCCAGGTCCAGAAGAGAGTGAACGCATCAGACACGGAAAGAACGGAAAGATTATTTTTAATTAGGTGCAAAACATCATTTCAATAAGGACAAGCAGAACAACCAGGTGATGGGAATCGCTCCTTACTGGCCTCACTTCTTCAATTTCATTTATGGAAATGATTGTATTTTTTTTAATATTGTTACCTACGGAGTGATAATGGGGCCAGATCAGACTTTTATAGTTACAGCTGTGCCAACAGCAAAGATTTGTCCTGAAAATACCTGGATGGGATGATTTGCTTTTCAATTATTCAGCAAGTACATGGAGAGCAGTTTCAACAAGCAGAAAAGCAACAGTTAAAAACATTTATGTTTTAGTATGACCTATAGTGGCATCCTATCACAGGAAATTGAAATATTAGTCTCGGAAAACATCTGGACTTTTAAATGATTTTTTTTGCAGCTAGAAGATAGGAAACTTTAGTAAAAGTGTTATAATTGCTTTTTTCTTTATTTGCAGTATGAGTAGCAAGCATCAGATTTACTTATTACAAAGGACGCTGCTAATGCAAAAGGATTAATTTGAATTTCACCCTTTTCATCCTTGTGGCCCTCCTCTGGACCCTCTCCATCAGGTCCATGTCCTTCTTATACTGAGGGCTGCAGACCTGCACACAATACTCCAGGTGAGGTCTCACCAGAGCAGAGTAAAGTGGCAGAATCCCCTCTCTGGACCTGCTGGCAACACTTCTTTTGATGCAGCCCAGGATGGGATTGGCCTTCTGGGCTGCAGCTGCCCACTGCCTGCTCATGTCCAGCTTCTCATCCACCAGCACCCCCAAGTCCCTTTCCTCAGGGCTGCTTTCCAATACCTCACCCCCTGGTCTGTACTGGTGGTGAGGATTGTTCCGGCCCAGGTGCAGAACCTTTCATTTGCTCTTGTTGAACCTCATGAGGTTCACCTGGGCCCACCTCTCCAGCCTGTCCAGGTCCAGAAGAGAGTGAATGCATCGGACACGGAAAGAACGGAAAGATTATTTTTAATTAGGTGCAAAACATCATTTCAATAAGGACAAGCAGAACAACCAGGTGATGGGAATCGCTCCTTACTGGCCTCACTTCTTCAATCTCATTTATGGAAATGATTGTATTTTTTTTAATATTGTTACCTACGGAGCGATAATGGAGCCAGATCAGACTTTTATAGTTACAGCTGTGCCAACACCAAAGATTTGTCCCGAAAATACCTGGATGGGATGATTTGCTTTTTAATTATTCATGGAGAGCAGTTTCAACAAGCAGAAAAACAACAGTTAAAAACATTTATGTTTTAGTATGACCTATAGTGTCATCCTATGACAGAAAATTGAAATATTAGTCTCAGAAAACATCTGGACTTTTAAATAAATTTTTTGCAGCTAGAATATAGGAAACTTTAGTAAAAGTGCTATAATTGTTTTTTTCTTTATTTGCAGTATGAGCAGCAAGCATCAGCTTTACTTATTACAAAGGACACTGCAAATGCAAAAGGATTCATTTGAATTTCACCCTTATGAAAATACCTGGATGGGATGATTTGCTTTTCAATTATTCAGCAAGTACATGGAGAGCAGTTTCAACAAGCAGAAAAGCAACAGTTAAAAACATTTATGTTTTAGTATGACCTATAGTGGCATCCTATCACAGGAAATTGAAATATTAGTCTCGGAAAACATCTGGACTTTTAAATGATTTTTTTTGCAGCTAGAAGATAGGAAACTTTAGTAAAAGTGTTATAATTGCTTTTTTCTTTATTTGCAGTATGAGTAGCAAGCATCAGATTTACTTATTACAAAGGACGCTGCTAATGCAAAAGGATTAATTTGAATTTCACCCTTTTTTTTTTAAATTCAGTAATTTTTAAGCTTCAAAATATTTTTCGGCTCTTAATGATTTGAAAACAAGTATCTGTCAATATTCCATCGATATACGACAAACCTCTCCCTGGGCTAAAAAACATTTAAATCCATTTTCTGCACACTCAGAGCGCGGAACTACCCAGAGTCCAATCACACAGAGAGATCTAATCCTATTTTTCTTCAGCTACAGGTGCTTTCTTTACAGTGCCAGAAGTCATGAGGTAAGGTTTTTTAAAGGCACAAGCCCTAAACACCACTCTCCAAGAGACCTCCTTTCACTTCCCCACCTCACATAAACACTGACTGTTAATTTTAACCACTGGCTGAGAGTATTTTCTTCGAGTCAGTTCAAATACAGCACATTTTCAATGGGATATACACGGAGCAAATCTTACGCTGAGGTGCCTCCCTCCCCCCAAAAAAAGAGAAGCTTCTTGGTCTCCACCTCTAGGTTCCTTGTTAGTAGCCATGAGTAGGTAGAGCTTGTGAGAGAATCATAGAATTCCTGGGTTGGAAGGGACCTTTCAGATCATCGAGTCCAACCATCAACCCAACACTGACCAAACCCATCACTAACCCATGTCTCTAAGCACTATGGCTGCCCGGCTTTGAAATCCCTCCAGGGATGGTGACTCCACCACTGCCCTGGGCAGCCCATTCCAATGTGCAATAACCCTTTAGGTGTAAAAAGTGTTCCTAATCTCCAATCTGAACCTCCCCTGGTGCAACTTGACGCCGTTTCCTCTTGTCCCATGGCCTGTTCCTTGGGAGAAGAGACCGACCCCCCCTGGCTACCCCCTCCTTTCAGGGAGTTGGAGAGAGCGAGAAGGTCTCCCCTCAGCCTCCTTTTCTCCAGGCTGAACACCCCCAGCTCCCTCAGCCGCTCCTCACAAGGTCTCCAGCCCCTTCTCCTTGTGCTCCAGACCCCTCACCAGCTCCATTGCCCTTCTCTGGACCCGCTCCAGCCCCTCAATGGCTTTTTTGTGGTGAGGGGCCCAAAACTGGACACAGCCCTCGAGGTGGGGCCTCACCAGTGCCCAGGACAGGGGGATGGTCACTGCCCTACTCCTGCTGGCCACACTGTTCCTGACACAGGCCAGGATGCTGGTGGCCTTCTTGCCCACCTGGGCACACTACTGGCTCCTGTTCAGCCCACAGGCCACCAACACCCCCAGGTCCTTTTCAATGGGGCAGCTCCAGCCCCTCTGCCCCCAGCCTGGAGCGCTGCAGGGGGGTGGTGGGACCCAAGATACCATCATTCTCCTTCCCATCTTCTCCAGAGGCCATAGCAGGAACCAGCAACAAAACCTGTCTGCCTTCTATAGGCTGCTCCAGGCTACAAACGTTCTCACAAAGGGAAGTCAAAGCCATCCCCCCTCCCATTAAGTGCAATTAATCCTTAAGGCTTAAAAGCTTAACTACCTACTTGACAGGTAATGAGTACTGATTATTTTTTTCCCTTTAGAAATGGAGATGGTGAGATTGCCACACAGCCCCTGTGCTGGACAGCTAACAATGAAAACCAAGCCAAGAACAACCAAAGTCTAAGCATTTCTTTTACTGTATTTTGTGTCATCAACTCTGAAGAAACCCTCACACTGTTTACAAGTTTAAAAAAAAATTGGTTTTTGTTTTTTATACATTCCAAAATGCGTTTAGGGACCTCTGGCTACATGATACTTAAGGAAGTGTAATAGAATTTCACATTCTTTCACATATATAGTACTGCACCACGAACAGTAATAGCAACATTCCGTATCTTGAAATTATTTCCTGTCATCAGCTTCCTCCTTCTCCATCTCCTCGAAGTTAAAATAAAGGGATTTGTCGTAGCCCATGAGATGGTTATAATCCTGAGGATTGGGGAAAAGCGTCGGGTTAACAAGCATCGATTTCGTTTTCGCATAAAATGTCGTGAACATCTTGGTGATGTCTGGGATCTTCACATCCTTCTGGTGGAAAACAGTCGCTTTTTCTGCCAAGATGGCATTGTAGGTGATGGCTGTGTAGGTGTCCATGTCCTCTTTATAGTAGAGTCGAATGACATAGCCTTTCGTTAGGACATGCAAAGTCACCGGGGTTACAAACGTAAAGAACCCGATCAGGCCGTAAAAGGCAGCTTGTATGAAGAGGCTTTCAAAGCCAATGCCAGTTTTGAGCATGATGTAGGGCACCATGAACAGGTTGAATATGCTGGTGGAGTAAGAGAAAAATCTCACACCTGCCCAAACAAAACAAAAAGAACACAAAGGTTAGGATTTGTGGATAAAATTGTATCTATAATTACATATACCCTGCTACTATGTATTGATGGCATTACTTGAACAGATGAACTTACTGAAAATCCACTGCCCCCTTTTTTTTTTTTTTTAAGCTCACAAACAAACCACTGAAAGTTCAACACTGTCTCTTTACGACTCTTGGTCAGGGAGGGGAACCACAGTGTGATACTTAAATATATTAAGGCACATTTCCTCCTTCTTTAAGGGACATCTATAATTACATATACCCTGCTACTATGTATCGATGGCATTACATGAACAGCTGAACTTACTGAAAATCCACTGTCACAAACAAACCACTGAAAGTTCAACACTGTCTCTTTACGACTCTTGGTCAGGGAGGGGAACCACAGTGTGATACTTAAATATATTAAGGCACATTTCCTCCTTCTTTAAGGGACATTTCAAAAATGCATATCAGAAAGCGCCCAACGGATGACTTTTCACTGGGTCTTTCTAACATCAACTGGTCACAGAAAGATCAACAAAGCCCCATTACAGAGAGTGCTTTTCATTATAGCATCTGTCTACTTCAGACACAGTTCAGTAACATCTGAGAGAACGCAGAACGCAAACAGAAGTTACAACTACTCTTTGTTTACTACTGGGCTGGGCAATGCACCCCAAAGGCTGCAGGAGAAGGAGGTTGAGGGGTTACAGAGACCCACAGGAGGCACAGATCTCCCTGCACACCCAAGTGTGGAAGCAGAAACCAAGCATCACCACCACCACCACCAATTTTTTGCTGTACAGGGGATCCGTGTTTTAGCAGAGCTGGAAAGCAGACCATTCTCTTTCATAATGTTGCATTTTAAAGTTATTAAATGCTGTTAAGATTTAAAAAAAAAGAAAAACAACAATCCAAATCACCTCAAGTCACATACCTAACACTGCCTTTGCCAAATTTCCTTTATAAACTAATCTCCCATGTTCTGGGTGGTCATGAGGGGAGGACGTGCAGAGGCTGCGAACCGCCACTCCTCGAAAAGATGCAACCTGAAAGATGGACAAGCAACATCAATATAAACCTGCACTTCATATAAATATATATATATAGATATACACACAGAATACATATATGTGTGTGTATATACACACAGAAAGCTCCTCCTTCCCTTGAACCTACTCCCAGCCTCTCAAGCGAGGGACGGGGCCAGGTTGTACCACAGAGCACGCCCCCAAAATCCAATTAATATATCGCTTGACTGCTTTAAGCATCTTCCATTTAGACACCTCAAACCACATTTTCCACAGGGCCTTGCGGGGAGCCCTCCACAGCTCCCCCTCATGCTCTGGGCCACCCCCTGAGGGGACACCGAGTCCCCCTTCCCTCAGCCTCCCATTTTTCCCCCTTGAGGAAAAAAGCCGCCAGGCCCAGCGCTGCCGCCGTACCCCCCGCCCCGGCCGGCTCCTGAGGGGGAGCGGGGCCGCCTCCCCTCACCGCCATCCCCTCACCCCACCTGCTGGGCCGCGGTGGAGGGCAGGCCGGGCAGGGCGGCCCGGCGGCGGGCGGCAGCGGCGCCAGGGAGGGTCCCGCGGTGAGCGGCGCCCCGCAGCCA